AATGTATCTGTGGTATGAATCTCTAAACATAGGCCTACTGGACTAGAACATACATATTTTAATTTTAGAAGATATCCTGTCAATAACATAAAAGAATTTCTGTTTTCATTCTCTTTCTCAATAACACTAGATATTATAGTACTTTCAAGTTTCTGGAACTCTTTTTTTATTTTTAAAAAGCTCTTTAGAAGGACATTTCTCTGAATAAATAGAGATTGAAAACTTTTCATTTCCATAGAAGATTTCTCACTTGTATTCCAGTGATTTCTCCTATGAGTTACCTCATTCATATTTTAGAAACTTTTATGTAGGAGAAATTTTTCCCCCAAGGCTAAATTTTTAACTGAATTATAGCTTTTATAAAAAATTAATGTTCATTTTTGATACACTCAAATATCTGTTTGTATCCATCCTGATTTATCTGATGACATTAGGTAACCTTTGAGATCCTTTTTATTTTATTCTTTTAATTGTTGCTTGCTATAGGTCCATTATAAAGAATTTGGAAGACAGAAGAGAAGAAAGCTTCCATACTTCCCAATACCCTTCAGCATGAGGTTTTGGAATATTTTAGATCTGTGTGCAGGTGACACTATTACAAGCTAGACCTGGTCCTGATGACACTGCGACTTGCAAATCTTTCTAGGTGGGGCTGCCCTTCCTTTGTGAGAAGGGAATATGCACTAGCTGCAATAGCCAGACTTACTAAGGAAGCAGATGGTGGTCAAAGCTTCAGCACCAACATAAGTAGAACACTCTTTCTAAAATAAAATGGATCAAAAATCTTAATTTTTATTCACTGTCTTCAATCTTTCTCCTCCCAGGTATCTGGCTCGGCGTTCTGGAAGGAATTGGCATATTGGCTGTGATCACTAATGCGTTCGTCATTGCTATTACCTCTGACTACATCCCACGCTTTGTCTATGAATACAAATACGGCCCGTGTGCAAACCATGTAGAACAGAACGAAAAGTAAGGTTGAAATCCACACACTTCCTTGACACATTTTCCATTTGTAATTAAATGAGAACTTACTGGAAAGTTTTGTGCTGTGACTATTAAAGGTAATGTTCCTTCCATTAATAATGAGTGTATTAGGTAAAACCAAGTGGGGTGAAAGAAACAAACAGAATTTTTAACACAAATAACTTTAGAGTTTCCTTTGCTTTTCTTTGAAAATATATCACTGGTATTAAAGTGCTAAGAACATTATACTGCAGCTAGAAGTCAAATTCTAGAACAGGAAGAGAACTCGGAAATCACCCAGCGTAGTCTTCTTACTGTGTAGATGGAGACGTTCAAACCCACACTGCTTAATCAAGCTGCCAAAGGGAACAAAGAGAGTTTGTGGGAAGATAAAGACCATCAGGAGACTCTCATCTGTATGCCTACAGGTTCTGAAAAGGCATTTATAGCTAGGATTTAAGGACACAGAATATTTTGCCCTCCATTTGTCTGACATGTATTTTCTGTTAAAATTTAAATCCACACTTCAAAGAAAGGCTTCTCAACTTCTGTACTATTGATGTTGGAAACCAGAAATTCTTTGGGTGAGGTAAGGGGACTGGATTTTCCCACTGCTGGATGTGTGTCCTTTGCCCAGTAGAGCCCAATATCAAGGGCTGCCTTTCCCAAGTCAGAATACTCAAAAATATTTGCAGACATTGCCAGATATCCCTGGGGGGACAAATTCACCTGGTTTGGAGCCAATACTTTAGGTAATATGTGTTATTTCAGATGTTTCCTTATTGAAGGTGCAGCAGGGGGGGAAGGCAAGTGGGCACTGTATGTGGAAAGCACAGAGGAACTGGAGGCACTGAAAGTACTGTAGGTGGAGCTTGGCCTTGAGTGACAGAAGCTAGAGCAGGGTCGGAAGCCGCTTCTCTTTCTCTCCAGGAGCACCTTCAGGCATGTGGACATACCCAGGCTGGGCCAGCGCCACCCCAGATGGTACCTTGCTTTAGGATGACATTAACCCTGCACTGTGGGTGAACTCCGGTTTTCTCAGAACACAAAAACACCTTTCAACAGCAATGTCTCATTTTATTCAAGGAGAAAGACTGGGGCCGGGGATTTAGCTCAGCGGCACAGCGCCTGCCTGGCAAGCTCAAGGTCGTGAGTTCGGTTCCCGGTATCGGAGAAAGAAAACAAGGAGAAAGACTAACGACTCAGGCATTATTTGATTTTGTATCTCGGAGCCTTTGAAGATTTTTAACTGGAAGTTAACAGCTGAGGTTGGACTTCCAGCTTTGCCTTTCAGTACAAGTTGCATCACCTATCAGGCCGTAGTTGGCTCCTAGCAGGTCATAGTCTCAGGCCTCATGATTAAGAGGTGACGGCTGGGGCGGGGCATGAACTGTGACACACTTTGTAGATGTGTGGTCATTTCAGTGTGAGTGGAAAACTTCCTTTTCTTAGCTCAGGGTGGTCTAGAAGCAGATTATTAAGACTATGAAATGTGTTCGCTTGTCTGGCTGCTCCATTTGTTGGGAGACTCGTTTGCTAGTGCCTTTACTGCCACCTAGAGGCAGGAGGAAATGACACTGGCTGAGTATTTCCATTTGACAACCTGTCTTTCGAGTAGTACCCACTCTTCCTCCTCAGTGACTGGGGGATATGGACGAATTTCAAACAAAGGTGTGGGGAGGCTTACGAGATGTTGGTGCCATACATCCAGAGAAGCACGCTCTTATTTACTATTTCCCAAGTGTGCTTAGCAGCTACATTGGAGTAGATTCATTTCAAGTAAAAATGTTCAGAGCAAGGTGGCAACAGGAGAAGATGGAGGGGGAGAGACAGGTGCTGGCGGAGAGTCAGAGAAATGACAAATTATGGGATCCTGGATGAACAAGAAAGAGGTGAATCCAGTGCGGTGCTGGAATTATCACTTCAGGTTCAGACGTGGTAGACCTGTGTTGGAATCTGAGTTCCAGCCACTGTTTGTCCTGGGACCGTGGTTCTTCCCATGTGGTCTGCAGACACCCTTCAGGGACCCATAAATCCAGACTGTGTCGCAAGGACACTACGACATCATTTGCATTTTCACCTACTGACATTTGCATTGCTGCTGCAAAAGTAACAGTGGGCACAATTTCTAGTAGCTTTGTGTAAGTCCAGGTATCAGCACTAAACAATTTTAGCCATGATTATATTTTTCATCACCATCTCTCTATCTTAAATATGTCAGTAGGAAATTTAAAATGCCTCTGAGGAAACACAAGAAACTATTAATTTTTAAAACCTCCACCTGTGGATAAATAAATGTCTTTTGAAATTTTATGTAAGGAAATGTGAAATGTGCACAGAACATCTCTGCCACAGAGCAAAGGGTGATGGTTGTCTCAGAGAAAAGTACTGCATTAATTGTTCAAGTTTCAAACTGAGGAAAATTTTTTCCAACATGAAATAATGTTTACCAGACAAACTGATTATTCAGACTTCAGAATTTAGCAGCCACTTTTTTACAAAATGCACAAAACTAACATTCTGAGGAAAATACTTGTCACTATTTGTTGCTATTAGTAAAGTTCAAACTTTGAAGTGAAAAAATTAAAATTATGGATAACTTTTATTTATCACTGTGAGCTTAAATATTTTTGAGGTCTCACAGATATTTTTCTGATAAAAGCAAATGGTGATAACAGTAACTGTGATTTTTTTCATAATCTGTGGCAAAAATGTATCAGTCTTTGGAAGTTCTAAATGATTGAGGGAATTAATTCAAGGAATAAACATCTTCCAAGTGACCCATATTTGATGTTATAAAACCATGCATTGATCAAAGATGATTTTCACAGTACAAAATACACTCATGGCTTTTTTTTTTTTTTTTTTTTTTTTTTAGACAGAGTCTCACTATGCAGTTCAGGCTGGCCTTGAGCTCACTTTGTAGTCCAGGCTGGCACTGAACTCGCAATAATCCTCCAACTAACCTTGAATATTTATCCTTCTCCCACTCCATAAAATCCACTGGAAAACATGTTGGCCACACTTTGCAGACATCCCCATTTTATATCACTTCTGCAAGTCACAGTCATAGTAAACTGGCTTATGTGAAAGCTTGGATTCGGTCACATAATTCACATCATCAGTCCACACAAAATAAGCTTCACCTGTGCACTTGCCTCCTTTCTCTTTGCAGCCTCCCTAGTGCTGGCATTTCAGGCTTGCGCCAAGCCATACACCTATGAATTTTAACGTAAATTCATGACAATTTCGCTGATAATGGTATACAATCCCACATTACAACTGGAGTTTAAAAACTGCCACATGTAGATCTTTAGTGCAATATCATCATAAAATTTCCACAACTGTCTGAAATACTACTAAAATAAACCTTCCTTTTCCAACTGTTTACCTATATGAGACCAGATTTTCTATTTACACTTCAATGAAAGCAACATCACAATAGATTAAATATACAAGGAAATACAAAAATCTCGCTGTCTTCTGTTAAAACAGACATTAAAGGGATTTTGCGAACATGTAAAACAATATCATTCTCACAAGCTTCTTATTTCTTTTTGGAAAATACAGCCATTTTAACATACTCATTATTTAATTTATGGTGGACTTATAGTTATTTTTAAATAAATGAATGGATAAAATTTTTCTAAATTTCTGTTTTAATTTCCAACATGTTAAAGTATCAATAGATACACTCTGGTGAAGAACTCCTTCAGATGTTCAACACTTTTTAAAAAAATGTGAAAGAATCCAGAGTTCTTTACAAAAAAAAACTTGAGAATTACAGTCTGGAGACGGTGACCCCGTCTCTCCAAACCTTGCGTCTGTAGTCAGTACAAAGGACATAATCATGTCTGTACTTTAAAGTTGTAAATGTTACCGTGCTGCCATTTCTTTCAGTGTGACCGGACCTCTAAACCAGTCAGTCTTCCTTTCCTCTAATGCCCCATTCTCCATCCTCTCTATCGTCTTAGAAACCAGTTGGCCAGTTACCCTCACCACTTCCTTGGGTGCGTGGATCTCTTCCAGAGTCCCACCCTTGTTCTCCAGGTGCTGTGTCTGCTCCGCACTGGGCCCAGGCAGCTACCTGGGAACGAAGAAAAACAAAACAAAAAAGAGCAAAACATCCTGAACCATTCCACTAGCGATGTCTGCCGCGTACTTTATGTGGGTCTGGTAAACATTTAATTTTTCAAGTCCACTTGTGTTCTTTTCTGTTTTGCTTTGTTTTTGTTTGCTTGCTTTGTTTTTATTTGTAGTACTCTTCCTTATTGGAGAAGTCCATCACATCTTCTTTCTCCTCAGGCCTCACCTGCTGAGTCGCTGAGACACTTTTACGGTTCTTAGCTTTTTGCTTCTTAATTTTTGGATTGCCTTGAGGGTTTGATCTATGCATTGCTCCTCTTTCTCTAGACAGTGTCCTTTTACACTGATATCTTTTTCCAGTTTCGTGGATCTGATCTCACTTCTGAACACCAGACTTGAGTATCCCACTGTTGCTTAGCATCCCCTCTGATATGGCAGCTGTAGCTGTTGTGTCAGACTTACCATGTCCAAAATTCAACTCCAAATCTACCCCCAACCCCTTCAAACTTCAGTTTTCCTGTTGCCAGTTGGCTGTAAGTCCATACACAGTCAGGCCAAAAGTCCTTGGAACTAGCCTTGAATACTTATCCTTCTCCCACTCCATAAAATCCACTGGAAAACATGTTGGCCACACTTTGCAGACATCCCCATTTTATATCACTTCTACAAGTCACAGTCATAGTAAGCTGGCTTATGTGAAAGCTTGGATTCGGTCACATAATTCACATCATCAGTCCACACAAAATAAGCTTCACCTGTGCACTTGCCTCCTTTCTCTTTGCTTCCTCCCTTTGTCTCACCCACGCTGACTTCCACAGTTCCTGCTGCCTTCTGAGGACTCCGCCCTTTCTGTCTGAAGCTGTCTGCCCATGGATAGCCCCATGGCTGCCTTCTGCAACCTTAGGCTTCACTTGGTGTAACCTGCATAACCAGGTATACCCTGAGCACGCTGTTGGAAATTTTAGCCCCCATCTCAATTTCCCTTAGCTTAGTCCAATATGCTGTGAGGAAGTCAGAGGTTACAATATTTTCCTCAAGAAAGCCAATTACCCTGGTAAGATTTGCTGAAAAGGCAGTTCTTTCATCCCTGGGTTGCAGTGACATTTTGATCATACATCAAGGGAATGTTCACTTGGGGATCTGTGTTTGTACTGACTCATCTTTTCCCCCGATTTTTTCTTTTCTTTACACCAAAATCAGTATTTTAGTAACTGTAGCTTTACATTAAGTCATTAAGTGCTACAATCTTCCAGACTTTTCCTTTCAGCCCTGACTTTGTTAACATAGATTCCTTTCATTTGCATATAGACATTAGATTCAGTGTATTAGATACTATTTTATTTTATTTTATTTATTTTAGTTTTTGGAATCAGGAATCAAACTCAGGACCCCATGTTTACCAGGCAGGCACTGTGCTGCTGAGCTATACCCCCAGCCCTCACATATTATTTTAAAAGTGAGAGAATTTATACTTTGATAGAAGTCCTAAAACATATGTGTGCCATATATTTATTTCAGCCTGCATTTAATTCTCTGTGAATGTACTTTCAGTTTTTAGCCATTTATGACCTAATACTTAGTACCTGTGTTATCAGAAATGAATAGTATTTCTTTAAATCTTATTTCCTATTTATTCACTATTAGTATATATAGATGGTTACTTTTTATAATGACCTTGTATCTGTCAGGTGACATTGCAAAATTCAGTCAATATTCAAATAATTTGTAAATTATTTTATACTTCCTATATACAATTCACCATATATCAATAATGATATCTATATATTCTTTCTTTATGTTAATTCCATTGATCCATTTTCCATCTGCTTGTGTGGACTATACTGGATAGAAATGTTGACAATGAAAATATCTGTCTTGTTCTTGAGCTAATAGAGAAGCACTCAAAATATGACAGTCTATTGAATGTGATAATAGCTGTAAACTTTTAAGTAGATGTTCTTTATCAAACTAAAATGTTAATCTTTAGCTTGTTGAGTGATGTTTATCATGAATGGAACTTACATTTTATTTACTAATGTGATCATATATTTTCTGCTTTTTTCCATTAATGTACAAAGTTTGGGGGCTGGGGATTTAGCTCAAGGGCAAAGGCGCTTGCCTGGCAAGCGCAAGGTCGTGAGTTTGGTTCCTGGTACCAGAGAAAAACAAAAAAAAAAACAAAAAACAAAGTTTGGTCAAAATGTGTGGGAAATAGTTACATTTTTTAAAAAAATGTATTAGAATGCGAGACACATCTCCATGAATCCCCTTCAGAATGCTCCCCCTTGCTTCAAACATGTTTATCCCATCATAGTTGTCACTTTCTGAAGCAGTTCTGGATGGCTGCTTTTGTTAGTAGTGATTTAAAAAGATAGGGTGACAGTTGCTGCCACGTGACGTCCAAGGGAAAAGCAGGCTCACAGAAACATTACAGAGTGTCCGCCTCCGCCTCATTACCTGGATCTGGCACCGTGCACCTTCTGCTCCTCCCCAAAGTCAAACATGACCATGGAAGACAAACGTCTTGAATCGATTCAGGACCTTGAGGCAGCCACATAACAGCACAACTAGAGACCCTCATGAAAGAGGACTCCAGAACTGCTTCAGGAAGTGGCTGGAGCGATGGGACACATGTGTGTGAAGCAAGGGAAAGCTTTTGTAGGGGAATTAATGACAATGTGTATTTGCCATAATTATTTTTCATTTAAATATGTCCTTTACTTTTTGCTCACACCTTGTAAATTTTGAATGTTTTGTATATGATATTATTTCTTGAGATCTCGTAAACTTCGTCATGAGGTAACCTTTATCCTGAGGTGGTTTTAGACTCAGCTACATCACTTGGAGCAGGAGAGAGTGCTGGGCAGGCTCCTCCCTCCAGCCTCCAGCAGGATGTGCAGCAGGCATTTTTCTCTGAAGTGCTGTCCGACCTTGGAAGACTGCACTCTGGCTTTAGAAAGTCTCAAGTTCACCCTACTACTGTCCTCAGCTTCCAAAACTACCCATGAAATTAGCAAAGACACCATGAGAAAAACATGCAGGCATGTGAGGCTCCCGTGGCTTCCTGTCTGCCACCAGCCTCTCATAATTGGCAAAACTCATGGGTTCCCTGCTGTCTGCTAGAGCCCCTCGCCCTGCTGAACCCAAAGTCCAGGGTCCACCAGATTTTACAGGCAGTGGCCTCCCGAGAAGAACACTGCTGATGGCCAGTTTACCTAGGAGGGGCTTTCTCTTTCTAGAACTTTCATTCATCCAGTTCTCATTTTCAGACATCTTCAGCATCTTTAAAGCTTGAGTTTTGTTACTGCAGAGTACGGACTCACTATAGCCCATCTGAATGAACTGTTTCATTTTTATATTTATGCAGTCATCACCTTATAATAGTCCATACAATGTAATTACATGTTTGCTGTGACTTTATCTCCCACCACACTGGAATGTCTACTCCACAGGGACAGGGACTTTTACCTATTTTGTTTATTGATGAGTATCAGCATTGGTGATTTTTATAACAAGTTGTAAGATCTCAATAAAAGTATGGTGAAGTTAATAAATAAGTAATGCTTACTCTGTATATAAGTATATTCAGCAAAATGGGGCTACATGCATGCATATTTAGAAAACATACATCTGCAGACTTTTAACTCTAGAACAGTTATTTTTTATCAGCACAAACCCGTTGTACATAATGATTACGGTCATCAGTGGCAGATGGTAGATTTTTGGTACATAGGAAGTAACAAGCTGAATTTCTGGTGCATACTAACCATGTAATGAGTATAAACGCAAATGAAAGGGCAAGAGAGGAACTGTTGCAGGAAAAATCATACAGACACAATGAGAACTAAGGAATGGAGTAAGAAAGCTCAATTGCTAGGATCTTAAAATTAGAATGGCATTTATAAGACCCTGTCATTTGTAAAGAAGGAATTGTACTGGCCATGGAGGGTTTTCTGACTCAAAGAATGCCTTTCTTTCCTGCAGTTGCTTAAAGGGATACGTCAACAACAGCCTGTCCTTCTTTAACCTGAGTGAGCTCGGCATAGGGAAATCCGGCTACTGCAGGTACTCGTTTATAACTTCCAGCTGTCATTCCTGCTTGCATTCGCCTTTGTGACTGCTCCCCTCTAAATGCCAATGAGCCCGTTTAAAGTATTTTAGAATTTTGGCAAGTCAAGAATCCTCAGGCTTCCACACTTTGATCCCTATTCCTCACAGCCTTTGTTTTCTGTGGGTTTCAGATACCGAGACTATAGAGGTCCCCCTTGGAGTTCTAAGCCCTACGAGTTCACCCTGCAATACTGGCACATCCTGGCTGCCCGACTGGCCTTCATCATTGTGTTTGAGGTAAGTCACAGACTGAATAGAAAATTACCAGGGGTAAACACTTTCTAATTGATCTATCACCGGCCTCTTTGAAATGAATTCATCACTGACTTCCAAAAATGTCAGGTCTCCATAAAAGGGTGAAACAAGGAAACCATGAGAACAACGTGTGGAAGTAAGAGCTGAAAAACATAACATAGTGGGTGAGTATGTGTTTATCCCAGAAAATCAGAGTGCAGACACAATTGCACAGGTGAACCAGAAACTCTGGAACCTCCCTGTTTTGAACCTCCTAGTAGCCAAATTTAAAAAGGAAAGAATGGTTTCCCAAATTTGATTTTTAAAAATCCATATCTATACTATTCACCAGGATGGAAAAACTGATTTTCTACACAATCAACTAATTACAGCAACCCTGGATAACTCAATAAATCATGCCTTAGAATACTTTTATTATAGATGTGTAATTTGATTATCAGAGTTATGCAATAATATTAGATTGGAATCCAGTAAAGAAATTTTTGGGAAGCTACCATTTCATTGCCTTGTTTAACCAGGCTCAGTATAGTAAAGGGCTTAGCACTCGACTATTCTGAATGCCCACAGTGTAAAGCTACCTCAATGAAAAGTCAGTGAAAAGACTTTAAATGTGTTTGTTGTGGCCAAAATTATGGAGAGAAAGAAGTCGCTATGTGAAGAATTTTGAAACATCTTTTGAAAGACAACTACACCTGTCAACTGATTGCCAAAAAGCACTTCTGACTTTATAGTGAGATACCTTCATCCAGAAAGTGAAATGCTTACCTCCAAGGGTCTCATGCAGACTGATGCTCTATCACTTAATGATACTTTGATAATAGGAGGTAGATTTGAGCAGTGCACACACTCCCAAGCATTTCTTTCAGCCCTCCCATGTTTGTTTTCCATTAATTCTGTCCCAGTCTTTAAGAGGTTCTACTTCAATGCCCATGTTAGTGGTGATACACAGACTGTAGGAGATTTGCCAAAGGTTGCACAGCTAGTGAGCGTCAGTGGGATTCAGAAATCACGCCGTCTCATTCAACATCTTACACTGAATCATGGGCTTATTGCCTCTGAGTAGGATTTGTGCTGTTTAAAACCTAATACTTTTGTCAGTCTTTTAATATATAAGTAACATATATTTAAATGCAGATTATGTGACAGAGATAAAATATTTTATAACTTATAATGTGTGAATTTAATATAGAGGAAGTTCTGAAAAACAAACATTTTAGAACTATCATAGGCAGACTGTGTTCTCCATGGTTTGTGTGGTGCGCATTATGATATACTGGACATGGACTTTTTCCTATATATAATGCTTCATTTGTGTATCATGATGCATGTCATAATACTGGGCATCATATTATTGCATAGTGTGTCATGCTATGGACAGTGATTTAAGATTTATTCAGGCTTTATAAAGTGATATCAACATCTGACAGCAACAATTCATTCTTTTCTTTTAATATCAATGTGTTAAAAGACAGTAGTAATGTTCTCAATATAGCAGTTTTTGAAAATATGCATATTCCAAATGCTGCACATTAAGTTCTGATGCTTGCTTTTAAGGCAAATGGACCACAGTTCATGATTACTGTGTTTTGTGATTAGCATTTCAAAATCTTGAAAACTGTGCTTTCTGCTCTGACAATGCAGCACCTCGTGTTTGGGATTAAGTCTTTCATCGCATACCTGATTCCAGATGTACCCAAAGGCCTGCATGAGCGAATTAGACGGGAGAAGTACTTAGTCCAAGAAATGATGTATGAGGCCGAACTGGAGCATTTACAACAACAGCGGAGAAAGACTGGTCAGCCTGTTCACCACGAATGGCCTTAGTTGATACCTGCAACCAGCAGGGGAGGTACCCTTAGTGTGAAGGAGTGTTGGCAACTTCAGATGTAGATGGGACAGAGAAGGAGGGCGTACTTGGCAAACCACATGTATAATACGCTGCTTGGAAATGTATAACAGCAATCTCTGGGATTTGGAATGGACAGATTTCTAGGGATGGCGAAGCTGATCTTACAGGGATCTTTGCCTGGCATTGCAGAACCAACCTTTGAAAGGGATCTCTCCTCCCCGTCAGCCACAGGGTATCAGGACGGGTGGTGGTGAGGTTTCTAGAGACAGATTTCCATGGAAAGTCCACAGCCAAGCATGATTTAAAGTATCCTTGGTCACATACTAGTCTGACTTTGGAAGCTTCTATTGAGTTGAGATGCTTGCAAGAAATGACTTGAATCAATTGTTGCCTTTGCTGCTGGAATTCCATGTCCCTTCTGCTTTTACGTGGCTAGAAACTGCCCTTGTCTCATGAGAGTGTGGATTTTTGCCCCAACGAATTTATGCTGCTTTACACCTACTATGCAGTTGAAGAGTTGTGCACCACCTTTCATAGTCAAACCAAAAATATAAGATTCCAAAAAGAATACCATTCGTTAAAATCATATTGTATTGCATCAGCTACAGTGCAGTCTGTTTTATCACTGGTGAAGCCAGATGCACTGCACATTTTTATACATAGAAAACATAAATGGGGTTACTCTTACATCATTTAGAACATGACTACTCCATACTTTAGTGCAGAAAGCTATTTTATAATCTATTTAACTTTCCCCTGATTTATTACAAATCTCACAGAATGTTACCTTGAAATGCTGTAAATATGTTGATTTTCCTTGTACTTTTGCACCTTGACAATTTGGAATGCAAGATCCTGTTTATGCAACTCTGAGACCAGTTACATAGTATGCAATTGCAATATGTTTATTCAGGTAATCTGAAGCCAGATTGTCTACAACATTTATGCTTTTTCTGCAATGTGCTCTCTTACTGATGAGCTAATGAAAATGATGCATGTTGATAGATCTATTTGTAAAAAGCAATACTTGAATTTACTTTCTTTTTCATCACTGAAAGGAGCTTTCTATTATTGTTTCTTTGATGGATTGATTTGTTTTTAAACTGTCTGGAAACAAATTCAAATTAATTGTGAAGATTTTAATTTTGCAGTATCGTGAAATCTTTATTTTGATGTCAACTCTATCCACAGATTGATGGAATAGAAATGATGGGGAAATCAGTTAAACAAAGTCCAGAGGAGGCATAAACTGTAGGAGAGGCATAGGAAGAAAAGCTAAAGTTGAAGTAGGGGAATGTAAGGAAAAAATCAAGGCACTTCCTAGCAAAACAAGGAAATCCAAGTTTTTCTCTTCTGGGAATGGATTAAGAAATGGCATACACATACATATACATACACATACACATACAAGACTCATGATTTTTATTAATCATCTAATTAATTTTTGCCCAGTTAAGCAGAGCACAATTATTTTCAAATTCCAAAATTTCAAAATCAAGATTAGACACAATAGAAATAAAGCTATTTCCTGTAAATTCTAGCATTCCTCTAGTAGGGAAATTATAAATTTCACTTACTAGAAAAAATACTTTTATAATTCTAGCACCAGATATGTTTGTTGACTTTTCCTTCTTTCACTCCAGGGAAAAGTTATTCCATCATAGTTGCGTCCTTGTTTTAGTCAGGGATATTCACTTCTGTATTTGGCCTCTGATCCTGAGTAAGGGGCGGGCTTGTGAATATATGTTCCCTGGTAATTCCTCACCATGTAAGGCTCTTAGGTTCAGACATGATACTAATTCCAATGCCTGCACAACGGAGTGTTAGCACATCTGTGTTTACTTTTCTTTGTTTTTATGTATATATATATACACACACACATAACTGAGTGCAAACACTCTCCATGTTTACCTGATGGTTACTTACTTTCCAAATTAAGGACACAAGTCAATGACATTTGTCTTACAGAGGAGCAAAATATAATCATAGTGATGTCCTTCAGAATTCTTCTCTTTCCATGTTTTTATATAACCCCACCAGGGTATAAAATCATATTGATTGATATGAAAAAAGAAAGCTATTTTAATAAGAATTGTAATATCTTCATTTAGAAAATGCCTTCCCTGGTATTTTTGAAACAGATATGAAAAATAGCAAGCAGAAAATTATCTGAAATGTTTCTTTTGTGAAACAGTGCAGTAGAAACTAGCCACGCCTTCTTCATTGTTGACAGTAAAATGTTGACAGCCGCTCATCGTACCTTGATGTTAGCTTTCTCTGCTTGAGTTGAAATATTTTCTATCTTGGTTTTCCTATGAATAGAAACTAATTCTCAAAGATTTACAGCACACACTATTCTCAGGAATTCTATATTACATGAATGCTGCTTATATATTTTCATATTCTAACTTGTTGTCTTTTTAAGCAAATAACTACCAAACGTGCATGTGGTCTGCGTTGACGGGCTCTCCAGCACTGAGGAGAGTCCAGCACAGTGTGTGGAGAACTGCTCCCGATCTTAGCTGAAGTCGCCTGCTGTTGTTGCAGCCGGTGCACGCGCTTTTAAGGCCCAGGCTGCTGGTTGATGCATGACATGATGCCACTTGGAATGCCGCACATTCTTCTAAGACGACTCGTAGCACAGTCTGTTGTATAATGGAATGAACATAAAGTTTTTCACTCAATAAATTATCATTTGATATGGTATTTTACTATAATTTCCATGTTAAACTTAATTCTGGTTTTTTTTTAAATATTAAGTTGAGATTCTTGAATGGGGGAGCTGCTTGTTCTCTACCTCTATGAAGTAATGGGTTCTTTTGATTTTGATTTTTATTAATCCATGCTTGTGACACACAGTAATTACATTCCTCATGGGGAGTTGATTCATGTACATAACACAGGTTAATTCTTTTCAGTTCCCTCTCCCTGTCCTCCCTCTCCCTCTGTCTATCTCTTGGTCCCTTCCCTTTGGCAAGTGATCTATCTTGCTGTTTCCTATTACCTGGCTTTTATTTTACTCTTTAATTTATTTACACTTTGGGCTTCTCATATGAGAGAAATAATGTGATATTTAACTCGTGTGTGTCTAATTTACTTCCCTCAACGTTACAGTCTCAAGGTGCATCCATTTTCCCACAAATCACTCGAATTTATCCTTCCTTATAGCCTCATTCCTGAGATCCTTACCCCAATCTTAAAGAGTTCTGGCCATCTTCTGATAATATCATCATTATCTTCAAAACTTTGCACATGTAAGTGCAGAAGGGATATCACATTGATCCTAATGTTTTGTTCTGGGGACAGATGGTGGGGGAAACTTGATTAGGTCTTGTGAACACAGAAGGCTTCTATCATTGTGAACACTTCTTTTTGTATGCGTACATTCACTCTTACAACTGCCATTAAACCCTCCTTGGGTCATGAATTTTATTAGATGCAGTGCATGCCACAAAGGGATACCAAGGCACTAAGGACAACAGTCTACAGGAGGCTTGCCACCTGGCCTATTTTTCTTGGACTTGACGGTCAAAACTGAAAGTCCACGTTGCCTATACAGTCGCTTTGCTGATGTGGCTGGAGCACTTGGCGATCAGTTGGGAGTGTGCGGACACACACATCCCTGTCACACACTTTGTGTAAGCAGCAGGGCTCCCTGCCCGCGAGGTACACCTGACTCAGTGCTGCCCTGGTCACTGGAGGGGTCTAAGCCACTCCCTCAGGTCACTGTTCTCGTGAGCTCCAGCAGTCAGCCTAGGTTTCATCCAGAGAGCCAGTCTACCTCTTACTCACTCCTGCTATTCTTAGAAGCTCAAAAAATTAGCCTTTTAGGAGTGGCCTAAAGGGCCCAGTTTCTGATGGAAAGGCAAGTGTTTCCTTTTAGACATTTCCATTTAAAATAAAGTATGCCAACGTGGATGGTCCAAAGCAGAGATTAACTGGGCTTTAGTTTCAACCTTTGAATGTCCCCTATTTCTGCTTCCTAGGATTTATGCCATTGCGGTGGTGATAAATTACCTTCAACTGAGCTTGCTGCCTGGGTTCACCAGGAAACCACATATGGTTCCCTGGTCACACCAGATGACTTCCGTTTCAGAGAACATGAACACGGTAATCCCTGCACGCTAGCCTCATCCACATGGGCACGACTTTTTCTTAGGAAAGTAAAATGAAGGCACACAGATTGGTAGACAAGAGTCTCACATGTGGGAGCAGGTGTGGTTTCTGGTAGCATCAAAGTCTACCCTCAGGAAGATGAAGCCTGTAAACTCCAGCCTCACTGCAGGTACTGCACCAGGTGAGCTCCTGCACAGCTGTCCCTGGAGAAAGCCCTGTCCCTGGTCATCCGACCCGAAGTAGGAGCTTTGATGACCCAGGCAGTCAGCTGTGTAGATGTAGCTCAGCATCTTTCCCTCAGGAGAAGAAAGTAGGGGGCTACTCGTTCAGGTCTAGACCTATGTTGACCCCCTCTTCAATTTGTCCATCTTAATTCTGTAAGTTTAAAAAAAAAACAAACAAACTGACATCTCTGCTTTTCACAAAGCAAAATTCCAAAACTATGTATTAAAAATAAAATATACTCCCCACAAACAATAACTGTCACGTGGGTCATTAAAATTTCTGGTCCTGAGGCAGCCTCACTGTCCTCACCGTGTGATTCTGTCCACATCCACACAACTCCACACTACCAGGTAAACTCATTAGGCCAAACTGACCTCCTCTTCTAATAAGTCAGATGGAGAGATGTTACTTTTCTTCATGACTCCTTCTAAGAAGAGAGAGATTGACTGGCCAGAAAAATCTGGTGGCAAAGATGTTTGTGGAGCAATGCTTTGGAGAGAGCAGAGGGATCTTAGGGGCTTTCCCACCCAGGCAAAAAGGTCCACTTTCAAATCTGACTTCAGTTCCTGCTGTGTACAGTCCAGGCCCTTTTTTATGATGAAAAACAAACCATAGTTTAGGTCAATACTCCAAAGAAATGTGGCTTTGTTTTTCGTTTTCTTGTTATTTTTCCTATCTATGTTAGAATGCATGAAGCTAAATCTAGTGCACATTTTGTTCACATAACCTCTAATCAAAGAGTAAACTCCTTAATTTTGATGTTGAGAATAAAAATGCACAAAAATTACATGCAATTTTGTCTTTATAGGATGAGTGTTCATTGGCCTCTAGACTGTATTTTCAAGTAGGAGGAGCTACAGCAGTCTTATAATTAAAATGAGACTTTAAACATGGCCAGAGGAGGCAAAGAAGATTTCCACATCGGATGACAAACACGATTGCAGTGTCCTCCCTGCCCAAACAGAGATGCTTTCAGGAACTTAAAGTTTCTATAAATTTATGACTCTTCACGCCTGTAAGAACAATTAAAGAGTGACTCCTATTTTCTGAGCCTTAAAATCACCTTTAATTAAGATTATAATACAGAAAAATTTCAAAAATATTCTCTTTTAAATACTGTTTGAGAACACCCATAGTCTGTTTTTTTTGTCTATGTATAATGAAGTGGTATTATCCCATGCAGTCACAAAATAATAAAATTCATGTTCAGAGAATATCATTTGGATTAAACAAAGGGAAAAGTCTCTCCTCTCCTGCTCATTAGTGAATTTTAAGTGAATTAGAAATTTGTCTTGAGATACCTTTACTAATTCCATAACTATAATGCACAAATGGGAGCCTTACTATACCACAGATATGAATGTTGCATTTTAATAAGAAATTTGTTTATCTTTACAACAGCAGTTCTCTATTTTTTTTCAGGATTGTAAGACCTTTAGAAAAGTTACCCTCTGAAAAATATTTAAATTCTACCATTACAAAGTTTGGAAATTCAGGACATGACTTTTAATTTATTTTTTTTTAATTTATACATATGTTTACCTTGTTGCTCCTAAATGTCAAAGTACGTGAATACATGTTCTAGTCCAGTCTCTTGGAATCCTGGAGAGAATCGCTAGAACTTCTCGGATTAGAATGAACATGCTTTCTTCATAGACTACAGGCTGTTGTGGGTATTGACTGCTGTAGACGGGCCCATCCTTGGGCCAAGCATTTTATGTGATTTACCTCTCTAAATCTTCAGAATAGCCCTCTTCCATAGAAATAATTTTTGCTTCTTTTAATTGGGGCATGAAGGAAGGTTTGAAAACTCTCCCCCTAGATTTCCGAGCTAACCTCTGTCATGCCTCTGTTTGAACTGATGCTCTGGCCTCCCCCAAGGAGCTGTGCTTTGCACTCCCAACAGGGCCACAAAGTGTGGCGGAGAGCACAGTGTACCCATCAAGTCAGGAGAAAGAAATGCTGAGGCCACCGCTGACGGTACCGTGAAGGCACAGAGCCAGCCATGGCACCATTCCACCATTCTAGGGAACGCGGTGTTCAGCACAATAGGTTGAGAAGGTCCCTGCTCATTCTGTAGAAAAACAGAAAAAAGTGTGTTCCATTTCCAGGAGGAGCACTGAAGTTGGCCCTGGATGGCCCCTGTATTGCTTGGGAGGTCTTGACATGGCAGGCTGATGCTCCTCAGGAGCCAGGACAGGGAGCAGCCCCGGGACCAGCTGCAAACTGCAGACTTTCATACTTTTGCACCACTCAGCTACAATGACTTCCATCCGCTGTGGAAAATGGTTTCCCTGTGGATCTTTGTCTCTCTGTCTGTCTGTCTCTCTCTCTCTCTCTATGAAGCCCTAGCTTTTTGCATGTTCAGTTTGGAAGAAAAGGGAAGAAACTTGACCCCTACATGCTCTTGAGATGTTGTCTCCTAATGCTACAGATTTCATTTACCAGAGAAGCCAGATCCAGTTTTGTAACAGAAACATCTTCTAAGCCAGACTCAGTGATCCGCACCTGTAACCCCAGTGCTCAGCAGGCTGAGGCAGGAAGGTCCCAAGTCTGAGCCCTCCTGGGGCAACTTAGTGTGACACTGTCTCAAAATGAAAGGGTCTGGGGGTGTGGCTCAGGAGAGCACACCTGGGCTGAATCTGTGGTATTACCAAAAACAATTTTAAATCTAATTGTATAACAGTTTGAACTTTTGATAATATTTTATGTGAATAAATTTAAGAGCTGAAAATCACAAAGAATCTTATTTTAAAAAAATTGGTAAATGCAGACTCAGTGAAGGGTCTCAAGTGAAAGGCAAACACTGTACAAACTTTTGTGCAGTTCAAAACTTTTATTCTTCCTTGTAGATCTCAGTGTGCAGTTCAGACTGGTCTTGAACTCACTTTGTAGCCCAGGCTGGCCTTGAACTTGCAACAATCCTCCTGTCTCAGCCTCCCAGGTGCTGGGATTACAGGCGTGCACCAGGATGCCCAGCCCAATTTTTGTTCTCTTTGAAGCTGCCTAGCTCTGGAACTATTTCAGGGCTCTGTAATTGCTGTTTTGACCCCTGTAACCATGAGAGTATCACTGAACCTGATTGGACCAAGCTTTGTGGCTGTTAATCCAGCCCTGTCATCGATGATCTCACCCTGCTAGCCAATCAAAAGAACTACCAGGCTGTCCTGCCCTACCTTCATACTCCTACTTTAGCCTCATATAAAAATGTGGGCTCAAGACACTAGCCACCTGGTTTTTGCTGGAAGTTATTCCAGCCAGGACCACTAGTGTAAAATAAAGCTGCTCGCGCTTCCTGAATTCCGCAGGTGTCCTTCCTTTCCCGGACTCAGTTTTGCCACAACATTCTGATAATTTGAGAATAAAACGAAAAGTTATATAGTACATTTTAGTTTGTGCAACTTCTTGCTGAAATGCACCCCAAATCCTTCACATATGTGTTGTCATATGTTGCACTGTTGAGCCCACCCTCAGCCTCAGAACCGTTCGCATCTCTCTCCGCATCACAGGACGGTAGCTAACCCTGTTGGGTTGGGCCCAGAACTCAGTCCCGCTCTACACGCATTACTGTAGTTCAGGAGACTGTCCGCATGGCTGAGTCACTGGCAAGCAATTGTCTCTCAGCTTAGATTGACAGCTCAGCCTTCCCATGTCAAAAACCTTACAAATTGTGTGTCTTATTTCCAGACATACCCAAAGGGGCTCTCCTTTAACTTCATTCCCCCTTATCCCAATGTTTTTTCCCTCTCATTTGACGCATAAGCTGTCGCCAAATTTCTTCATTCCCTTTATTCTCGTATTTGAGAATGGAAGGAGAGAAGGCAAGACTTGGGCTCTGGCTTCTGAATTCAGCTCTATTTGTTGCTTTCATTTCCCTATCAGTTCCAGTTCTTATTTCCTTTCTATCTTCTCAAGGAAAACATTGGCTATATATTTCTTCCTCTCCTCTTCCTCCTCCTCCTCCTCATTCTCCTTCTCCTTCTCCTCCTCCTCTCCCTTCTCCTTCTTCTTCTAATATTTTTGGGGGCTGGGGATATGGTTCAGTGGTAGAGTGTTTGCCTTGCATGCACAAGACCATGGGTTTGATCCCCAGCACCACCAAAAAAAATGATACAAGATTTTTGGAGCCATGGGTGATAATGTACACCTGTAACCTCGGCACTTGGGAGGCTGAGCCAAGAGGATCACCATGAGTTTAAGGCCAGCCTGGATTATGCAGCAAGATTCTGTTTTAAAAAATGAAAAATGAAAGCTTTTTTACTGTAGGGTAATATTTAACAACACTTTGGGACTCTTCATCCTTACCGTTTCTGTATCATCTGTTTCCTCTTCCTTGGCTGACTAGAAGCCCCAAGCCTCCTGATTGCATGGCCACAGATGATACGGCCCATCTGCCTTAGCACACTTGACTCCTGGACACGGCGGACTTCCTCTTATCAGCTCTCCTGACTGACCTCTGGGCACTGGCTCTTCTGTTGCCTTGTGTGAATTTCATGTCTTTACTTCTTTCCCTAAAGATTTCACTGCCCTTTCACTTTCCCATTCGCCTTTAGATTTGCAACACTGTCTTGCTCCACTGCTTTAAACATTCTCCCCGGGGCTGGGGATTTAGCTGGGGCTGGGGATTTAGCTCAGTGGCAAAGCGCCTGCCTGGCAAGCACAAGGTCGTGAGTTCGGTTCCCGGTACCGGAGAAAAACCAAAAAAATAAAAAAATAAAAAATAAACATTCTCCCCGGCGCTCAAGGTCCTTACTTCCAACAGGAGTTGAGCTTGCGAGTGTGGCTCCCATGAGCAGAGCACACGTTCTATGGGGGATGTATTTTGTCTCACACAAGCCCTGAAGGCTGGGGAAATTTCCTGTGGATTAGAAAGCTACTTGCAAATTTCTCACACACAGAGAATGCTGTCCCAACAGCAATCTGTAGGATATTTCTTTCCTCTTTTCCCAGACTTAGAAGAAGACTCTGGGCTTCTTGTTACACAGAGACAATCTGTCATTGTAATGTGATGGGAAGGCGGAAGAAAGGCTGCTCTGCTGTCACTCTGGGAGCAGGGTACTGAGTTGCGCATGCCTATGACCAGACACACCAGCTCTGCCTGCACTTGGCAGAATTGTCTTTAAGATTCTACTGGAAGGAAGGACTCAGGGTGGACTCTAGCTAGGGTGGTGGTGGGAGCACACTTACAGCAGTTACCAAGATAAGGAGGGCATGCAATGCTGAGTCCACAGGCACCGGTGAGCTGAGGGTAGGGCTGGGGCCATCCCCTTTATCAACAGTGACAGAGAAGCATTTACCATATAGACCACCTTTTCCTTTTCTGCATCTGAGCCTCCAAGATACCGTGATGGCTAAAGCTACAAAAGGGACCAGGGGTGGAGCTCAGAGGTAGAGCAGCTGCTTATCATGAGCAAGGCTGTGTTCAATTCCCAGCACCAAGACAAAGCAAAGCAAAAACCCTACAAACACAAAATAAAACCAGACTGATTCAATCCAGTCCTGATTTATTCAAGAATGAAATCATTAGGCCCTTGAGACTGGCCAATTTTCTCACCTGAAGTGTGAGGCTTTCCAAAGAGTATCCTGGGAAAGAACCATTTTATTTGTATAAATAAGTACATAAATAGTTATCGAACCTCCTTGTCTTCTAACCATGACCACCACACAAATCTACTAACAGCAAGCAAGAAGTATGTGGAGCACGTCTGTACGTGTGCACACATGCATGCATTGTCCTAGAAGTGGGTAATCTTCTCCAGCGCCATATTGTCATAGCTTTTGTCCTTGGGGTTGTAACCTGGTGCATGGGTCAGGCTTTCCCTCCCGAGCCCATTCTGGAACACAGATTCAGCTGCATGTTTCCAGGTACTGCCATCAAGATTATCCTGAGGAAAACAGGAGGGCACATGTTAAGAGACAGTCTGGACACATTCCAAATGGTGAGTAGGTACTTCCTAGAAATAAAGGTCGATACAAGGTGGGAGAAACAATCTGAGAAACAAGATAAGGAGGGCATGAAATGTTGAGTCCACAGGACTTCATGATGCCCTCCTTATCTTCAAGACTCCTCCTAAGTGATCACTTTGGTGATCCACACAGTTATTACTTTAATGACAATAATACCAAAAACAGAGACTTATTGAACATCAACAATATCTTGTGTTGCGAGAAGAAACACATATCTCTTATTGTACCAGCAATCCCATGGAGAAGTACTACAACCTTAGGAGAAGGGAATCTGGTCTTGACCCTGTCTAGCAGGAAGTAGCAAACCCTCTGAAGCCATCAGGGTCCCCTGTGTGCCACGCCCCAGGGGGATGTTCCACACTGTCAGGCAGAGGAACCCAACAGAAACCCAATAGTGTCTCCCCCACCCTCAGCTGGACCATGAGAATGAAAGTTGGCTCCTTCAACAAAAGAAATTCTCAAGTGGGAAATCAGTCTGTAAACCAGTAAATAATGCATTACCCCAACATTTACTTAGACAAACTATAGCGGCCTTCTCAGCTGACCTATTTAAATAGTCTCCAGTCAAAGCTGCAGAGATTTTCATGGAACAAATCACTGTTAATTTTTGGCTTTCACCTGGGTGCACTTTCGTATTTTAAATCATCAAATCACAAGTTTGTCCAATTCCAGTTAGAGCCCTGCATTTAAAGACCTGCCCCAGAATCTATGTAACTATCTGCATCTAAGCTTCCCATTCAGAACCTCTGACAAGATGAGGTTCTCCCCAGCTGCATTAAATTCAACTTTCCACCATACACACATTATTAGGGTGTTTTCTAGGGAGATGAGTGACTCCCAGCTCAGAAATATGGGATGTGATATGCACAGGTTAAGAGTCCTGAGTCCTAAAAGAATAAAATGTCAGATACCAAAAGAGTAAAAATAAGCTTTAACTAAAGCAGAAAAAAAATGAAACAAACAAAAAGTAAAACCCCTCAAACCAGTCCTGTCATTAATCTCAGGAGGATTGCACTGGTAAATCCAGCTGTAATCCTGACCAGAAATAGTTCTTGCTCAAGATCCTGCCCTTGTGAGACGTTGCCATAACTCTGCATGTCACAGTGCATGCACGCTCAGCCAGGATGGCCCACTGGGGTCTGTTTTCACTTCCTGCCTCCCTTTCAGAATCCTTCAGCAGGGGCCCAGTCCCTTACAAAAGACGAATTCATCCTCCCTCCTATAGATGGCGGCATTGCCTGGTTCCTCTGAGCACCCTATCTCCTTGCGTCAATCTAGGAAGCCCATCTTATCAAGTTACAGGTTGCTCCTGGTGGTTGATGGCTTATAAGAATTGAAGAGCACTGACCAACAGTTTAGAGCCTGACTTGACCTTAGCACACTTCTTAGTGAGCTAAGGGCCTGGGAGTTTTGCACATCTTGCTGCCACCCTGATTCCAAGTTCTCCCCAGTGTATTACATTTATACCTCATAGATTTAGAAATGCTTAGGTTGATGTCACCTGCATAATTTCCCTCCAATCCTCAGGTAAGAAAAAGCTGAAGTTCAGAGAAATTAAATAACTCATCCCAAAATAGTAAGGCCAGGAACTAGGCTAAAACCCAAGGCTGTCTGGGCCTAAAGCCCATAGTTTTAGCCAGTACAAGAGACTTTATATTTTACTTTCTTCTTTTTCTATTATTTATTTCCATATTTTTCCTAGAATGTTCCCTCACAGAAGGTAAGAGGGACTTTGGAAATTGATCACTTGCACTGCTAACACTCAGCCTGGAAGCATGTTTACCTATAAGCACACTCCTGTGCTTAGAACGTAATCAGCTACTATGATTCTGAAGTTGATTCTTTCAAGTCCTACCACTCACTGCCTTCCCTGCCTATATCTCTCACCCCCTGCAGCTGGCTCAAATGGGCAAAATGCAAATCCCTCTGGGCCAGTACTTATTTCAAAAACTCACACATCCATTTACCTGCTCGGGCCCTTGGTCGTGACGCACTCCACACCAGCAAAGAGTTTTGTATTTCTCAGACCAAAAGCAAAATAAATTGCAAACTGGTCTAATTAAGAGTGGGTTGGTATCTTCACCTCGCTGGAGACCTGTCGATGAAAGGAGAGGTGGGTCAGGTGAGGAGACCGCTAGGCTCCCACTGAGGACTCAGCACTGTGATCTTGAGGTTCCTTTTCAGCGTGAGACCTCAGACGGCCTCACACATCATAAGCAGAACTTGGTTAACTGCATATATGGACGGGAGCTCAGTTTGTGCTCAATTTTTAAAATCCATGATCTCTCAGGTTAGAGTGAAACAAAGACAGCATATTTCCTTAAAAATATTTATTATAGGAAACTGTACCAGTACCCTCTGAAGATCAACAGAAGGAACAACAAGATTTATATTTTTCCATTTAAGAAAGCTCCTGGTTTTTATCCAGATCAGATATAGTTAAGACCGTCTAACCCAATATTTGTAAAATTAAATTATTTTTATCATTTCCTCTTCTTTTTACCCCAGCATCAACATCCTGGACAAACACAGTGGTGTCTCGGTTCATGCACTTAATTCTTTCTGTGATTCTGGTCCCAAACCAAATTGCTTATAAACCAAATCAAATTCAGTGGTTAGGTTCAGTGTTGATTGACTCAGCAATCAATACAGTTTGTGACCAGAGTCTTGGAAAGAATTCAGTTCATGAACCAAGATACCACTGTTATTCCCTTGTGTTCCCCCAAACACTCTAGACTTTCTTCACACCTCTTTCCCTACCCTCAAAATATACTTCTTTGATGTCTCATTTCTTTAACTAGCAACAAACAGAGACACTGAAACCCAAGGCACTATCTGCAGGTTGATGACCTTGCTCTACCCAGAATCTCTGGTAACTTTGGTGTGATGGTGACCATTCTTAAGTGTTCAGTCTCATTCAGTGACAGCTATGAGTTTGACAGACCGTTTAGTGTAAAGTTCCCTATGGGGAGCAAGTGGATGGGAGTGACACAATTGATCATATTCCTCCTGTCTGGTACACAGTGTTTGTCTATGAGATTTTTGTCAAATTTCTAATGAGGGACCAAAATAAGGGAGATTTTTAAATTCAAAATTGAGGTTCAAATAATGTATTCCCTAATACAATGTCAATTGGCCAGATATTCAATCAAGTAGAGTTCTACTGCTATTGACAGTAATATGCATTAATTAGTGGTTTGAAATCCTAGGCACACTTTACACGGATGAGTCCCTCTAGCTAGGTAGCTCTTATTGATGAGGGAGCAGGAGCATCACCATCTACTGCACACTGTGTGCAGCACAGCAGGAGTTGGAAATCCTCAAACTTCTATCAAGGGTGACTGAATTAGAAGAATTTAATTCAGAGCCAAATATTCCCAGGATTTCAAACAAAGACGACTTTGTCTCTAAGAAGACCACGAAAGCATCGAACGTTCCAACAAATAAGGTAGATCGTTTGTCTCTAAGGTCAGGACTTGAGATTTGCTAACAAAGAAAGAGTTGTTTGCTTCATATGGATTTAGATTCTATTTCCTTCTAGAAAAAAAATGACTTTGGAGATAGTAGACACTCAAACAAAGGACACCGCTATCGTGCTCATGAGCAAGAAGGCTAAAAGTGAAAATGAAACTCAAACGAAAAGCTCTGTGTTCTCCCCTAATTATAGATTTACAGCCTCTTTCTTTAGAAAGACCTTGGAAGTTGATCATTAATGAATACAGACTGTAAGATTATGGACATAATGCCTGACAGAGGAGAAGGTCAATGGGAATGTGATAACTTCCTGTAGAGACGTGAGTCTTTCCTGAGGAAGACAGCTCAGGGTTACAGAGCACAGGTCATCGGTTGTATCACACTTCAGAAGGTTCCCCCTTCCTCGAGCAGAACCAGCTGATGCAGGGCACTGATGCCAAGAGCAGAGTGTGACTCAGACCCCATCCCCTCCTGTCTCCTCTGCTAGGCACCCTGTGCAGGCCACCAGTCCCTAAACCCCCGCACAGAAGCCAGGACACAGGCTGATGTTGGATATCCAGAAAACTAGGTCAGGACTGGGGAGAGAGAACATAAAATTTCAGAAATCTGGGTGAGAAGACAGTGTCTATGAAATTTTATTAGAACAGAAAAGGTGTGTATGTGTGTGTGTGTGTGTGTGTGTGTGTTTTGTGTATTATGTGTGATCAAAATATGTAGTGATGTTTATGTTTTTTAAAATTTATTATGATAAAAGACCCATTATCATTAATCTCCCTGAAAATACTCCCCTTACTTCAAATACATTTATCCCATCATTCTCACCACTTTCTGAAGTAGTTCTGGGAGTCTTTTGTGAGGGTCTTTATGAGGTGTGATCAAAAATATGTGGGTGCTACTGCCACGGACAGCTTGTAAAATACTCCGGTGTGTCCTCCTTCACCTTATTCACCGCATCTTACACTGTGGGACTTCGAGCTCCTTCCCAGAGTCAGAATGACCATGAGAGGGAAGCACAAAGGCAGCGATGACAGCACAGCTGGAGAGATGAAAGAGGACTTCCGGAACTGTTCAGCACCGGAACAAGGAAATAAAAGACTAAGAAAGACTGAAAAAAAATACAGCAGAGGAACAGGCTCATAAGACTCTACTGACCCTATTGTACAAACATGTAAATGCTTTATACATCTTTTAAAAAAGCAGTGTCTAGTGGCCAGTATGAAATATCTATGAAAAGCCATTAGTGGCCTCACTGGAAGGTGTCAGGTTAGCATTAGGACCTCACCTGGGCAGACAGGCACCAGGAGGCGGGAATATCTGGCATATTCTTCCCAAGATTTAGTGTCATAAGAAGACACTGGGAAAGTGCTGGTAGGGTGGAGACTGAGCCTGTTTCACTAAGACTTGAGTCATTTGGAGTACAAGAAAATGCAGGACTTGATACCAGCACAGCTGTCTACACTCAAGGTGGCAAAGGATATTTCCTTCCAAGTGTAAGGTGGGGCTGCTGCACAGACACAAGAACGTGTCAGCTCTGACACAGCTGGAAAAGGCACAGCGTGGAAAGCCTCAGCCTTCCATGTGCTTTTGAGGCAGGCACCTGAAATGTGGGCTGCCTTCTGGTGAGGAAGGACACCTGACCCCCAGACCTCATGGGCCTGTCCCTCTAGCATCAAGGAAGCATCCCGGGTGGCCATGGTGCTGGGGCACAACCTGGACAAGGTTCCATTAAGAAAAATAGGCAGCCACTATCACATGAAAAATGGGCTTATAAAATTGGTGCTGTATTCCTTATCATTCCCAAGACATTCTTAGGTTAAGTGAAAGATCGTGCACAGAACCCCGTGGTGCTGGAGCCCCCGTGTATCTTCTCTGTACTCATTCAGCAGAAATGCTGCCGTACAGATTCTGGGTTGAGTAGGGAGACTGACTGCACGTTACTTATGGGTACATAATGATAGAGTAAAAGTAGAATACCTTACTAATTTATCTAGCAAAATACACACTCTGGAAAGGTAGAGCTTGGAGAAGGTAGACACATCCCTCTGGGAAGGATTTTTGTGGTAAACCCCAAATGAAAACAGCCATTTAGTCCACAAATGCTATAAACTGATCCGTATTTGTTGAGTTCTCCAAATAGGAACACCAGACAAGAGTGCAGAAAGCCCACTGAGCCCCACGCCATCCCCTCACCCTCCGAGCAGCACTAATCCCTCCTGGGCTTTGGCACGAACAGCACATTGACCCACCAGAGAGTCTGCAATTTAAGTATGGATGGAAGGGCTGGTGAGGAAAAGGGCTCATGGTAAAACAGGCCACTGCAGAGAGCTCCATGACCCCAGTGCAGCTCCCAGAATACAACCCAGGCAGCAAGTACAGGGAGAGTCTCCTCTGCTCTTCCAGCAGGGCAGCCAAGACTGATCCCAGAGGCACTGAGATGGTCAAGGGAAAAGCTGGAGTCTCTTACTAGAAGCAGAGAAGAAACATTCGTACTATTGAACTCACCTTAGTGATTGATATGGTACAAGGGATTTTTGGTACTCAGGTCTCTGGGGCATATTTCAGAGTATGTATCTTCTACTTAATATATATGTTATACATGCTAAGAATCAGAGACAGAGATAGACATAGACATAGACATAGACGGAGATCAAAGTATGCAATGAATACTTAATTTTAAAAACGTATTACAATAAAAGGCACCTTGCCATGAAGAACCCTCGCTTTGAACACACTCATCCCACCATGCTCGCCACTTTCTGAGGCAGCTCTTCCATCTTCTTCCATGTCTTGGTGAGTGTGGCTGCTGAGTGTCATCTAATAGAAAGGCCTGCTCATACAAACATCCCAGTTGGTCTTCATGTACTTATTCACTGCATCTGGCACTGTGAAACTCCTGGCTCTTTCCCAAAGTTAAAACGACCATGAACAGGCAAAGTTTTGAGTCGGTTCAAGACATCAGGGCTGCCATGACAGTGCAAACAAAGACCCTGAAGAAAGAAGACTGCAAGAGCTGCTTCAGAAAATGGCAAGAAAAGTAGGATAAGTGCGTTCAAAGCAAGAGGGAGCATTTTGATGGGGATTAACAGTAATGTATTTTTTTTACCATAATAAATACTTTTAAAGAAATTTAAACATTCACCATATTTCTCAGTCACACCACCTAATTAATGATCAAGGGGAAGCATTTGTATATTTCCTTGGAGAGAGTAGACGTATTTTTCTGGGAGGAAGACTTTCTGAGGTAGACCTGTAAGCAAAACACCAGCACAGCGACCTGGTCCACAATGCACCAAGTAAACAAAGGAATCCAGTAACCAACCTGTCACGAAGCTGATGAGTAGTCCCGCAAGAATACATCCCACGCAGCCCACTGCGCTGTAGTACAGGTAGGAGAGTGAGTACCAGGTGTCCGCTAGTTCCGGTCTGCGGAGGACAGCAGCAGGTCTCAGTAGCGCCACCTTCCTGAGGTTGGGCTCCGCAGGACCTGGGGCACGGCTCAGACCCATTTCTGAGCCTCACATCGCTTAAAACATTTTGCCATTTGGTTCTTTTTAAAAAGATGAGTGGGTTATAGACTAGGTGTGTTTTGGTATCAAGCTCAATATAATTCACCCGTGAATGTATGTATTATATTACGAGCATTGCAGTGAGCACTGCCTCCCCCATTCCTTTGGTATTATTCATTCCTCAGATACTTATGAAGCCTGCATTTAATGCCAGAAATTGCGACAGACGTTTGCCTACACAAAGGAACTAACACATAAGCACAAAATGAACTTGGTAGTGCCTGGCAAGATAGGAACAAAGAACTAGGAGAGCTTTCGGAAAGCCTGCGGAAGCCAGGCTGAGGTGTGAAATGAGGAAATCAGAAAACGAGGGTAGACAGGAACTGACTTTGCAGCCCGAGAGGATAAAAGTATGTGACGGAAGGGAGAGACAGAACAGTGGGCTAGGAAGTATGAAGAGGCTGATACTGTGTGAGCACAAGACTTAGGGTGAACAAAACTCTGAGGAAAGTGGAAGCAAAGTAATAGAAGGTCCATGACAGTGCATCAGGGACCCCCACTCAGTTTTCCATGTTGAATTCTGGACTATATTTTGAAGCAGGTTCTCCATTTAGGATATAGTTTCAAGAAGCTAATACCCTAGATGCTCCCCCTGCATGTCTTTCCCAGAAGAAGAAGACATGGCCCTGTTCCTGGTACCCGACTTTGAGTTAGGAGTAATGCAAACGCAGCCTAGGTACAGATCCCTGTGGAAACGGTTCAGACTAACCTTCCTGGAGTAATGATGTTTTGACTCTAGTGTCACTAGGTCTCGGGAAACCAAGAGCAAAAGACTTTTGGCTTAATTTTACATCTCAAGGAAATGTGTCCCTTTAAAAACTGATCAGTATTGGATGTGAGTGCTTTGGTTCAACCTTTAAAATAATGTCCTAGGGGGGCTGGGGATTTAGCTCGGCGGCAAAAGCGCCTGCCTGGCAAGCGCAAGGTCGTGAGTTCAGTTCCCGGTACCGGAGAAAAACAACAACAACAAAAAAAAAAAAAATGTAGGGGCTGGGGATTTAGCTCAGCTGCAAAGCGCCTGCCTGGCAAGCGCAAGGTCATGAGTTCGGTTCCCGGTACCGAAGAAAAACAAAAACAAACAAACAAACAAAACAAAAAAAATAATGTCCTAGGAGAAGACTCACCTACCATTTATAAACATGGCCTCTTCTGGAACGCTGCGGTGAAAATATGAGTGAAATTATGCCAGTGAAGCCCTCCTCTACGCTGTTGTGCCTGCTCTACCTGGGCTCAGAGTCACCACTGCAGGACTGTGTGGCATCTAGGTAAGGGGGGCTCCAGTGAGGAAGAGGCGGGTGGAGGAAAACTAAATTGATTTCATGTTTTCTTTATTCAGTTTCCCTTATACAAACATGGTGGCATACACATGACCTCAAGAGTTTACTGTGTAGTAAACATATGGAAGAGTCTGATCAAAGAGGAAGAGAAAAGAGAAAAGAAGAAAAAGAAGAGGGGAGAAAATATAAGAGAAAACAGTAGTAGAGTACAGTTAGGGACACATAGGCAGTCCCCGCGATGTTTATGCTGCCATAGGAGGCAATAGCTCTATCTTGCTGGTTATTTTACACTAGGGCTTCAAGAAGTGAATGTTATAGAAAAGTTTTTAGGAATCAAAAGCTAGTTGGATTAGAATAACTATTTTCAAATCCTGAGAACCTTTGAAATAGAAGTCACTATATATTTTACAGAGAAAGATGCATAGTGCAGGTCCTAATCTGGGTCTTGAAAGAGGAATAGATTCTGGAGAGGTACAAAGAATGATTAAAAGGCATTCTTTTAAAAGCAAGAGCTTGGTTAGAGATTCAAGGGTAGCAGAGTGGATTCAAGAAGACAAAAGAAGCAGAATATAGACGGGGAAAAACTACAGTGAAGCATTGATGAGAACCAGAAAAAAAGGCCGCCTGAATCCTAAGAATTTCTCCAGAAACAAAGACCACAAATCCAGCATTTCCCATATATAT